AGGCCCTTAACCGACCTATCGAAAGGAGCTATTAAAGGCAGGAAGCTAGGGAAGATCCCTTAAGGCGCTAGCGAAGAGAATGCGCTAAGCTAGCTTAAGGTAGCCTTTTAGTTAGCCCTACTACTAAGGCACTATAACCCTACGCTTCGCCTACGAGTCGAAACCGACGTATCGGACTTCGCGCTTACKGGCATCCTCTTATAGTAGTTTAAGGATAAATAGTAGCATCCTATTACTTTCTAGTTATAGAAGATAATYCCGGCCGAATATAATTACGAGACCTACGATAAAGAGCTACTTATAGTAGTAAGTACGTTTAAGTAGTAGCGCCCGTACCTCGATAGCGCTACGTATACGATTTAAGTAATCGTCGACTATACTAACCTTAAAGCTTTTATAACGATAAAATAGTTAGTCGGTCGATAGGCATAATAGGCGGTTTAATTAGCGCCCTTCGACTTTACTATCGAATATCGTATAGGAATAAAGAACCCTACGGATAGTCCGAGTAGGCGTAGCGACTACGAAACGAGTACGACGGAGTCGTTTTAGTATATAAGTATACTATTACTTATACTATAAAGTAAACTTTAGAACTAGTAATCTAATAAAGCTCTTCGAAGCGAGCTAGAGCCCTCTATTAGAAGAGTAAGAGCTATATACTACGCGATTAAGTGCGAGGGATTACTACCTACTAGAGTATATAGCGAGCTTTCGCTACTTAGGCGTATTATAGCCGTCCTAGTAGCTATAGACTTAGCCCTTAGAAATATTCTAGACCTAATACTCGGTTACGCTAAAGCACTAGTAAACGTAGACGCGGATACTTCGAGTATACGCGACGCGGCTAGGGAGAAGGGCAAGTACGAAGGCTACATTATTAAGGATAGAATATTATTTTATAGCGATACCCTATATATTCCGAAAGACTACGCTTTACGTACGTAACTAATACGTATATACTACGATAACGCTCTCGCCGGACACTTTAGGAAGGCGAAGACGCTCGAGTTACTTTAGCGGAAGTACTACTAGCTACGTATAGCTACTAATATCGTAGAGTATATTAAGGGGTGCTATATATACCTCGTAAGTAAGGCGCGGTACTACCGCCCCTATAGAGCAATAGTTCTATTATCTATACCGGATCGAGTATAGTAAGAAATTAGTATAGACTTTATTACGGACCTACCTCCTAGTAAGCGCGGA